TGTGTGTGTGTGTGTGTGTGTGTGTGTATGTGTGTGTGTGTGTGTGTGTGTGTGTGTGTGTGTGTGTGTGTGTGTGTGTGTGTGTGTGTGTGTGTGTGTGTGTATGTGTGTGTGTGAGTGTGTAGGAGGGAGAGGGAGAGGGAGAGGGAGAGAGAGAGGGAGAGGGAGAGAGAGAGAGAGAGAGAGAGAGAGAGAGAGAGAGAGAGAGAGAGAGAGAGAGAGAGAGAGAGAGAGAGAGAGAGAGAGAGAGAGAGAGAGAGAGAGAGAGAGAGGAGAGAGAGGAGAGAGAGGAGAGAGAGGAGAGAGAGGAGAGAGAGAGGAGAGAGAGAGAGAGAGAGAGAGAGAGAGAGAGAGAGAGAGAGAGAGAGAGAGAGAGAGAGAGAGAGAGAGAGAGAGAGAGAGAGAGAGAGAGAGAGAGAGAGAGAGAGAGAGAGAGAGAGAGAGAGAGAGAGAACCAGACAGACAGAGACAGACATATAACCAGACAGACAGATAAATAAACAGACAGACCAACAGACAAAGACTAAAAAAGCAAAATCCATCATGTGAGGCGAGACTTTCCATATTGAATCAAAACAGAAAATAGATCACACCCTCACCAAAACAAAATAAAACAACCGACTATTACAATAAAAGAAAAAAAATCAATCATCTACCAAACAATACCGAAAATCATCAACACATAATGAAATATTTTAGAAAAGTATCCAGGAAATTAGAGAAAAAGAACCACCGTATTAGTTCTCTCTCGCCGCCGAGGTAAACATTGGCACACATTGACAGGCGGTCCACGGGGTTGTTTTAATTACAATGCCGGCTGCAGAGGAGTAAGTTGTGTTTTATTTGATTTAGGTTTGAATGGGGATTATTATCTAGACATTGATTTGGTGCTGCGTGGTGAGATTTGCTCCGGAGGAAGGATAAAGGAGATTTTTACGAACGGGTCTTGGGAGTGGAGGTGTACAAGCTGGTCCGAGGCACGTCTCTTGCACCATATTTTAACTTGTAATTCTCCCATGAAATATTTTATGTGAATTTATACCAATGTATTACCTGTTGCACAACTTTAATACGTGTTGCACAACTTTTTTTTTATCAAATTGCAAGGAATACCACAGGAGTGTCTTATATTTGGCCATTCTGTACATTACAGAGAAATTTTATCTTGTAATATATGTCTGTTGGAAACAAACTATACCATGTCTTGTATCAGTTAATGTATTTTTCCCTTTCTTCATGTGTGTTGATATATTTTCCATATCTTAATGCAGTTCTTTAGGTAAATGGGTACCAAAGTCACTTATTGCACACTTTTCTTATTATTAATTTGCGAAGGAAATGCCATAGATAAATGGTTGTTAGTTTTGCCATTCTGTCCAATACAGGAAAAGTTTACCTTGTACGATAGGGGTGTGAGACAATAGAACTATTCCATTTGACTTAAATGATAATAGTATTGATGGTTTCCTTCCATTTATAGTTGCTCTTCTTTACACAGACAAAAGATATATGATAATGGCCCAGATATTTGGGAGAAATAAAATATACCAAGGATATTGGGGGAAAAATATAAAAATATGACCGAGTATTGTGTATTCCATCATGTAATTTCATAAAAGACCAAACCCAAGTCCCTTTGCTGCAGTTACTGCTGAGAAATCCACAAGCATTGCCATATAAACCAAAAACCTTCTTAACGTGGGTGCGTTTCACCCAGACACCATCCAGTTGCACTGCCTCTGGACCCCACTTAACCCATTGCCGCCGGGGATGACATGTATGTATATGCCATGCCCACAATTATGACAACTGCCTGTCTCGCCCGT